TTAAGAACAGGTTAGATAAGCACTTGTCAGGGATGGTCTAGGCAATACGTAGAACTGCCTCAGTGCAGGGGACTGGACTAGATGACTTACCAAGGTCCCTTCCAGTCCTACACTTCTATGATTCTAAGTGGCCAGGCTATAATGTTCTAATGTCACTAGAACACAGTGACTCTTTTGGGTAAAGCACTAGACTGGGAATCAGGAGATCTCTGTTCAGTTTTCAGCTCTTCCTTTGTGACCATGGGTAGTTATTTTGTGTCTCTGTATCTCAGTTCCACATCTGTAAAATGGGGATAATAATACTTCTTTTCTCTCCGCCTTTGTGTCTCTTGTATATTCAGACTGTCAATTCTTTGGGGCAGGGATTATTTTTTATGTGTATGTACAGTGTACAATAGGACCTGATTTCATTAGCGCCTCAAGACACTACCAGAATATAAATAATACTAAATATATACACTAAAATGCACAGAGCTCCCTCTTTAAAACTCTGCATGAAAAGGGGTTTGGATATATATGTACAATTCTGCAATACCCCAAAGAAAATATCAGACTAATGCTGGTAATGACTGACACCATACCACCAGTGACAGATACAAATAATGCTGTGGCTAGAGGCCATGATTAATGAATAGACCTGAGTGAAATAAATGTAAGGTGGCCAGGTGCTCCATTTTTTACTGGAGAGTCCAGTCGAAAAGGGGACCTGACAGTGTCCAGTCAGATCTACTGACCGGGACACTCAAAGTCCAGTTACTGCAGGTGGGGGTGGCAGGGAGGCGCAGAGTCATCACCCATGCGAGCCCCTACTCAGCCAGGGCCACCTCCTACCTGCATCAGGCGGCTGCACCTCCCAGCCCAGGCGAGTCCCTCCTGACCCATGCAGGGAGAGGGGAAAAGCAGTGGGTGACGGAGGGAGGAGAAAAGAGGAACAAATGGGTGTGAGGCTTCAGGGGGAAGGGGCAGGGAAGGAATGGGGTCTTGGGGGAAGAAGCAGGGTAGGAGTGAGGCCTGGGGGGAAGAGGCAGGTCTTCAGGAGGAGAAGGTGGGGAAGGGGAGGTTCTAGCACTCTGGCTGGAGTGTCCAGTTTTAAAATATTACAAAGCTGGCAACCCTAAATAAATGCCTTCCTTAGACCTGTAGGAAAGGCCTGGGAAGTAAAGAACGCTTCTGCCCACCCCAGGTCCTATTGCTACCTGACCATGGCACGTCCTGGAGAGGGAAGAAGGGGGTTCTGGCTGCCCCAGGCTCCTGTTTCTTCCTGGCCTTGTACGGGAGTCCAGGGAAACACAGATCCCTTGCCCGCACCAAGCTGGGCATCAGCAGCTGTGTTACCGTGAAACACTTTCTTACAAGGGCCAGGGAAGAGCATGCAGGCGATCTCCCCTCAGAGCAGTACCTCAGAAAGACGTTATCATTGCAAGCTCACAAGACAGTGACCATCAACCAAATGGTGAAACTCACTAAACATTTTCAATGTGATTTTGAAGTTCACTGTGTCCTTCTAATAAAGTACCTGGTCCTAATGTCTGACTCAGGATTCAGTCCAGTGTAAAACAGCTTCAGTCTTCTAAGTAACACAGGGCCTAGAAGGCTGCAGATCATGCATCAGGTGCAGCTAACCAAATCAGAAGAAAGGTATGCCTCTTACCCTTAAATGGTGCCTGTCAAGTAGATAGGTTCCCAAGGGAAAAAAAATCAATATGTTCCACAGCCTGGAGCTGTAAAGCTCCCTGCTAAGCAAAGGACTCATGCAATTTAACTCCCTGCCTCCTGTGATGCAGAGCTCTTAGTTTTTGGGTTCTTTGATCCACCTATTCACAGCTGTGCAGGGAGCAGAATTTAATCAAGCTCTGAGAGGGGAAGGGTGCATCCAAGACTAGCCTTCAGAACAGAGCTGTCAATCAAGGGTGAGCCTGAATACCCTCAAGTTGTAGCCCCTTTAAACCCTTTCCTCAATTGAGTGGTATTCATTCAGCTGTGGAAGAGCTAGCACCTGCAAGAAGACACTGGAGATTCACTGAGCATACCAAGTAGAGTGCCTCAATATTATTTCTCTTCCCTCAGTGAAGGGGCAGCATGAAATACCTAATCAAGCTGGCATTCCACAACCACAAGACAGGAGATTTTCCCTCTAGAATATGGAGTAGCCAGCTCAAATGCAGGTTCCAAAAGTCCTGCTGCACTTTTGTGAGTCAGCAGGCAAGTGTTTTTATGCTGGATTAAACCTTTACTTGATGTGGTTGGAATGGAAGGGGTGAGGACAAGGGTTACTTTCCACAGCTAATTTCAAATTATTTTAGCTGGGTATGTCAGATAAAATATTCAGTGACTGGCAGGATGCTAGAATTTGGTTTAATTTCAGATTTACTATCTGCCAACACATGCCATTCAATCAGATAAACACAGGATTTGAGCTGTCATCACAGCATTTTTATGCATACTTAAAAACAGGACACTTTTTCACACACTGAGAAGAAATTGAACGGGTTTATAAATAGAGTATGTACAGTGAGGACACTGGAAAAATTCCACCAGTTTGAAAAATACTGCCATTTCCAGAGCGATTCCTTGTTTTTAGAGCATTGCATTAGAAACACTAGGATCCTTCAAGCTCAGGGAATATTTTAAGGGTGTCAACTGTGTACTGGAAAAAAAAAGAGAGCGAGCATATAATAAAGCCAAATTAAAATAAAATGTGGACTCTATAACAGACTAGACACACCGAGACTGCAGAGACCACCATGGACTTCTGCGTGCATGACTAAAATTAATTCTCTGATGTATAAGTATCTGTAGAGCAGGGCCTTGTTAGGCTGTCTGTCACCACCCTTAGGTCATACCCATCACTTAGTATCCGAGTATCCGGTCAAATAAGCCCAGGAGGTGAAGATAGAATATGATGATATAGGATAGCCTGACGATCACTGGGGAAATCAACTTTTACAATAAATATAAATTAGGGAAATGAAGCGTAAAGCGCCGATCCTGCAAACACACACACTTCACTTTGCTCTTGTGAGTAGCCCTGTTGACTTCAGTGGAACTACTCCCATGAATAAAGCGAAGTAGCTATGTAAATGTTTGCTGGCTTGTGGCCTTCCATTCTAAAACATTGTATCATTGCCCCTTTGACCTGAGCAGTTAGCTAATATTCAGTCCCTTCAAGATTGTTTCCATTAGGAGAAACTGATGATACAAATCAAGTATTTCTCTGGTGTAATCTTGTTTATTTACAAAGCATGTGCACCAAGTCCTGTTTCTCTGAATACAATAGAAACAAACAATAGCAGGCAGTTTCCTTGCTCAGAAATACCACCTTGTGCCTCCCAGCAAACTCTGTGCTCAAGAAGCTCTGACTCTCTGCTTCCTGTCAGAGTCTTGCTCACAGGTTTCTCCAGGATCCCTGCTGGATTTTGCCTCTAACACTTGCAGCCTACAAAACCAGTGTCCTAGCCCTGTGCTTTCCACCAGGGAAGTCCATGCTGATCTAGGTTAGCTCTGATCAGGCCTCTCCATGCAGCCAAGTGCCTTGGTTGCTAGCCACCCGTTTCCAGCTGTCTCACTACTTAAAGGGGCTTCATTGCTCCTTCCGTTGAGCCTACGACTGGTTTGCACATTGACTTGATCAAGGGCTGTGATTCTCTTTGATTCAAAGATTCATTCACCGGTAGCCATTACCACTGCCCAGCATAACATTCGTCCATCATTTTTTTGGCACTTTCACTCCAGAGTAAATAGATGTTGCGCTACGTGGAGGAATGAAAGGATGGATTTCTCTGCACTGAGATAGGAGAGTTGTGTATAAGCATTTGAGGACAGGATCTGGCCCTTAAATTCTACCAAGAAGCTGCTTTTCTGAAAGGCCAAGTTTTTCTAGTAAGGATTAGGAGGAGGGTTGTTTTTTTTATTTTTTTTCTCTCCATGTTGACAGTTCTTTGTTCTTCCTGCGCTGCACAATGGCTCTAGCACCCCAAACTCATTCACCATCGGGGAAGGCAGCATGTGCCCCTGTCGGAGGTTCCACTAGGGGGAGGGCAGCTTTAAACAGTGGTGAGGTCTCCATAGGGACTTGTCAGCATAGAGGCTGAATCCTCATTTCTCTGATCTTTCTGGCTAGCAACACTTGCTTTTCCGGAAACGCTGGCTAAGTGCAGGCTGGACATGTGTTGGGTACATGGTGTTGCATCCCCGTTGTCGGTGATCTTTCTGCTGCTGGGGCCCGGTGCCCTGGGTTACGCTGACTGGTACAAACATAAGCAAGGGTTGAATTGAGCTTCCTGCAATTTTTCAGTCTTCAGTTGTTGCTCTCTCTCTGGCTCTCTCTTTCTTTTTAAGAGAAACCTTTTCACATGTAATGATCTCCAAGGCAATTTACTTTTAAAAGGTGGCGGATGCTGCACACATTATGTGTTATGGTGCCATTTATACACTTGGCCTCACTGACTGTATGGCATAGTAAATGTTTTATTTACCCTTTGTGCTGTTTGTTCTGTAAACAGCTTTTGTTTTTGTTGCATTTCTGGCTATATTATATAGAGAGTAAATAGTTTCATGTTAATTAAAAAGACACGAAAGCTTTTCAAGCCATTCTAAAATGCTAAACAGTTTTGCAAATATGTTTGTCGGGCAAAGATTGAATAAAGAGCTCTTTGTTTACCCATTTGTTCTATTGTACTTATGCTAGACACCCCTTGTGTGACTCTTCCATCAAACACTGCATCTAGGTACTCAGCTGGAATGCCAGAGCACATTTATATCATGCTCAGAGGTGGTTTGCATAAACAGTAGGCATTTAGCAAAGAACACAGTAGTGAACTGCAGTGAAAAATGGTGTTTTGTATATTACAATACAGCTCATACAACAAACACAAAACAATGTTTTTCCACTTAGCTGGCATACAAAATGTCAGTTCAAACATTTCTGTGCTGTTATTAAATATTATTCTTAACATTTATTATCACTCTAGTTTCACTATGAATAATTTTGTTTCTTACAGCTGGATCGTGTCATCTTCTGCGTCTTTTTGGAGGTCGACTACAAAATTTTCAAGAAGAAAATGAGCGAATATTTCCCCACAGGTATGTGCAGTCATTAGTTGCCTTCTGACTTTCATGAACTGGGCAGTAAAAAGACAGCACTTGGCATCTTCTTGCCACGCCACAGCAAAAAATTAAAACATTAGCGTTCTTTCAAGATCAACTACATATCAAGGCTGCAATCCTGCAAACACTTATGCATGTGCTTAACTTTTGAAATCAATGGAGCTACTCATGGTAGCAAAGATCAGAACATGCAAAAATGTGTTTGTAAGATGGGAGCCTAACTTTGTGATATTGAGAATTGGTTGTTTCCACATTTTTGCTGTCTCTGTCTCCAGTCATTAAAACTAGTTTTATAGCACCAAACACTGACTTCAAGAAGGAAATGATTTACAACTCATGTAAGTGAGGGAAGAATAAGGCTGTCTGTGTTTATGGCTTTTTCATATGCTTTGTCTGTGTTTTCTCTTCATTAATGATGCTGGTACGATTTCATTGTGACAGAAAAAATATCACAGGAGCTAAAACCTGAATGAGAACTTTAAAGTTTGAGATGTCCCTGTACAAAAATGAATCTGAGGAAAGCAGCTCTCTGGAGCACTTAGGGAATGTTAGTAATTTGTCTTGTGTCTCACATGGAAGTCTCCTATTTGGAATGTAAGAAAACCTAATGGATAGTAAATGGAAAAAAAAACCTCAGAGTAACTGATTTATTTTTATTGTGTGCATCATTAGGGATTTTTATTTGTTTTATTTTTCAACCCTACCTTGATTTTTTTCTTTTTATTGCTTGTACAATGCTTTGTCCTTTCTGTTGCATTGCTTCTTCTGAGGGATGTTCTTGCCTATTCTTAGCATTCAGATTCTAGCAGGCTGATGCTCCTGAATTACATGTGCACCCACTCTAAGATGCCTTTACTCTGCCAGGTTGACGTAAAGGGGCCACAGAGTAAATGAGCATCATGCCCCAGGTGGCTAATGTGGATCTTAGCTGCCTTTTGGCTATCCAGAAAGTCACAGTGGCCAAAAGTGTGTTCCCCCCCCCCCCCTTCTGGGCTTGTGTCAAGGAAATTTTGACCTTTCTGCCTGATGTCACTATTGTTTTAGATGCCTCTGTCACCTCCTGATTCAATTATTGCAGTGATCTCTCAGGGAGGCTACAATTGAAGACCCCCTGAGTACTTCAGCTAGCACAGACTGTGGCTATCAACTTACTTAGCAATATATTGTGTCTGGAGTATTATGCATGTGCTCCAAAGACTGCATTAGCTTCTAATTCATTCAGTGTGATACTCTTTGGCAATGTGGCCCAGTGGTTAGGAGAGTGGATTCGGTCTCAGAAGATCTGTGTTCTGTTGCTGGCTCTGATACTGAGCAAACCATCCTCCTCCTCACAGAGCCTAGGTATTTAAGAGAGAACTTCAGGGCCCCTAGTCAGAGGAGAAAGGGAATGGAATTTGCTTCCACCTTGATCTGACACAGCCTGACTTGTTGACTTCCTGAGCATACTGCAAGGCAGAGGTGACAGATAACTGCGGATTGGGGGTGGGGCACGCAATTGAAAGGTTCTGTGGGGGCATGTGACCGCCACACGCATTGCCTCTGCCTCCCCCCTCCTGGCCCCCGAAAAAACTTGATATGTATGTAGACAACATACATGAGCAACTACCTCCTCCTGCTCCCTGTCCTGTGGCTGGCTAGCCCCTTGCAGAGCTTGCAGGCATCCCTCCCTGCCTGAACTACCCTCAATCCATTAAGCAAGTGTTCAAAACAAGACAAACAAAAGGGGCAACACAATTGGGATGCACAGTCCCCCATGCCCCATCAGGGTGGGGGGCGGTGGTGCTGGGTCGTCTCTGTTAACAAGGAGGTTGGGGAATTATCAGTCACTTTTTGTTGGGTGGGGGGGGAACATGGCACCCCCCAAACTGCCTTCTCCTTGATAGGCACGTTGCAGGCTGCTGCTACTGCTTCAATGCACCCCCAGCAGTGGCAACAGCAGAGTCCACCCCCTCTTTCCCACTCCCAGCCCCCAGTCTGCTCCTCTCACTCATCCCCAGGGCTTTTGGGCTGGATGGGGCTCCACCTGAGCTGCCTGGTGCTGAGCACCACGTCGCAGCTCCTGTACCCAATCTCAGAGATGCTCCTCTGACTCACCTCAGCGGATCGTCTGCCAAACGGGCCCCAGGAAGCGCAAGGACTCCAGTCGCAGGGAAGGAGAAGCAGCTCAGTGTAGTGTGTGTGGTGGGTGGTTAGCCCACAGCCGGCCATCCTGCTGCTTCCTCCCTTCCCACGCTGGATGGACACACGGTGAGTGCTGCTGAAGCCCCTTGCTGGTGGGCATCCCAGTGAGAGGCGGCCTGAGAAATCGGGGGTGGGGTGGGGTACATGACCCTACGTGCCCTCCCCCCATGTGTCGCCTCTGCTGCAAGATCCATATGGCACTCAGTCTTTTGGAACAGAAAGGGGTTTCTGTTTGGGTGGCTATAGTTGGGGTGCAGTGGCTTTTATTGTCCTTTTGACACATTAAATTAATTATTTGTTGTACATGGACTTTTGTTACTTAGGTGCATGGGAAGGTGTTTATGAGCTTCTTGTATAAAGTAAACTGAAGAGGGGGAAGACCCCCTAAAGGTTCAGTGCTGCAGGTGGCTGAGCACTGCTGGAAGAGGTGTGGACAGGCAAAGCTTAAGCTCAGCACCTGTGCAGGGTGCCTTGCACAGAGGGACAGATTTTCACACTCAGCACTCACAAGTGGGGACAGATTTTCAGAAGACCTTCGGGCCCATTTTTAAAAGGAGCTTCAGATAGACCAAGATTTTCAAAAGTGACTGGTAATTCTGAGTGCTTCAGTTTTTGAGTCCCCAGCTTGAGATGCCTTAAAGAGGGGAAGGGTGATTTTCAGAAAGAGCAGCGCATCTACCTTCTGTAAAGGAGGCACTTTAAAGTGTCTCAAGTTTGGCACCAAAACTCACCAATTAGTTTTGAAAATTTTGGCCCTAGCAAGTGATGAAGGATTGCCCAGAGGTTAGGGCATTAGCCTGGGACTTAGGAGAGTTGGATTCAATTCCCTGCTCTGCCACAAACAGTCTGTGTGGCCTTGGGTAAGTCACTTAGGGTCAGATTTTTAGAGGTATTTAGGTGCCTGGTTCCCAATGAAATCAATGAGAATGAGGTGCCTAAATACCTTTAGAAACTGGTCATTAGTCTCTCAGTGCCTCAGTTTCCTACCCACAGATCTCTGACCCAGCCGAGTTGTACACGTGCAGAGAAGTAAGCAGAGCCTGAGTATGGACACTGAGCATACTGCAGCCACTGAGCGATTTCATTCCCAATAGCTCTGTGCCCTACCCCTAGAAACAGAGTCAATAACACCACTCCCTCCACTGTCAGAAGTAGCGGTGGGAAGAGTGCCTGTCTTAACGTTCCTTCAGGAGGGATCTCCCTAGCTGACTACCAGGCTGAGAGATAGAGACCTGCTCTGGAAGGGTGCAACTGAATCCACCATGACACCTCCACAAGTGTCTTTTGAGGAGTACAATGAACCCCTGCAGCTGCCGACCCCTCTGTATCTTCCCCTGTGATGGCAGCTGTGTGTTATTATTTTGACACCCCCGCCCCAACATTATTAGCCTTCAGATCTCACTAGAGGTAGAGGGTAAGGGGAATCAGGATTCACAGAGAGCCTAGAAAGGTCATAGTGGAGGGAATATGGTTAGCTCCCTAACCCATCTAAGAAATTTGACCATGAAGCAGATGTGCAGCCATCAAAACAGCCTGACTATCCTGAGGATTGGTCAGGCTGAAGCAAAGTTCCCTTCTGTGGGAAACTTTGCAGCCCTTAGAATATGAACTATAGAAATTTTGGGGACAGTCATCAGAGAAAATAATTAAAATAAATACAGGAACACTAAAACATTTAACAAGATCTAAAAGATTAGCAAGAAGGGAGGAGCAACCCTATCAGGACAAATAATAATGGAGAGAAGATAAAAAGTAGGGGGGCTGCAGAAGTTGCAATTTCCCCCTTGCATGCTGAAGAGGGGAATCTGGGTCTGAACTCCAAAACCTTTGGTGGAGTTTATATCCTGGATGTTGTGTGTGACTCATCTCTACATTACACCTTCCATCTTAGTCTCTAATGATTAAACATTCAAATGATATCGGCATCCTTCTAAGTAACATCATGTTGAGGAACATAGGATCATAGAAAATACATGGCATACTTCACCAATCATTCTTAAACAAAATATCTCAAATGAAGGGGTGGGTTCTGACTAAACCTATACCAGCTCTGCAACAATAGAACTCATTTGGCCTGATTCTCCACTCCCTTGCACCTTATTTACATATTTATTTGTATTTATTTATTTGGCTTTCTATAATAATAAAAAGGGATGCCTATCTGAGAACTCTAGGCCCCCAGACACCAATTATAAAACCCCAAATGAAACAGCCAGCGGAACTGAACACCCTATAAAAACACAAAAGTCTCCTCCATCCCCATACAACCAACCCCTCCCTCAGTATCAACCCACACAGATAAATGTCCCTGAAATAGTGCCAAGTCACATCTTTGCAGAGGTGTAAAATGCCGCCCAATCAGAATGATAGACTTTTACATTGTTGTGTTCACTTTGCCGATGTGTAAATGACTACACAAGGTACCAGGGAGTGGAAAATCATGCCTTAAATTTGTTTCCATGTGGCTTACTACCTTACCTAAAGTTGATTAAAATTAATTTTTTCTGTAAGTAAAACGGCATTACAAGAGTATTGAGAGTTTTGGGAAGGACATAATAGAAAACATCAATTTAATATTTGATGGACATCCATGACACTAATTGGCACTTCTGTTGGCAATCTCAGAAGAGACATAAGGACTGAATGGGTTTGAAAAGTGATCCACATTCTCATTCCAATCAGGACTGAGGCACAGTGGTAGGGCAGTGTGCCATATCTTGTGATGTTGTTGCCTATGCCAGGCCTGTCCTGTACAATAAACACTTTCTTTTCCAGTGATGTCAACCCAGCAATTC